CGTCTTGAGAAGACCTTCTTCAAGTCACGACTTTCAATATTATAAACTCTACCTAAACTGAAATGTTGACCAAATACAGGCTTGCTCAATATATATTTCTTGTTGACATACCAGTCATCGTTTGCTGCCTTCAGCTATGTCCTGAGCAGCATATGCTACTTTCAGCATCATCTTGATGCTTTCTACTTTCTAACCAAATTTTCTTTTCATATCTGGGAACCTTGAGATATTCTCTGATTCTTTGTCTTTACATGCAGAGGAAGCAGCATTCACGTTCTGACTTATAATTTTTCTTATTGTTTTGAGTCTTCAGCGTGACCTAACTTCCTCACCTAACTTCCCATTAGATCGAGCCGGGTTACCTCTCACACCCTCGGACGCTCTATGATACGGGTATAGTGATCGCCCCGTGAATAATATAATAATATAAAAATAATTTGTTGTCTGCGTTTTCAACATGCTTCAACTGAACCCACCAAACAGTGATTGATGCCTGACTGGGTTTGCTAGGCTACCAAGGCAGTATTCGATATTTAGTAAATCATATTTTAACTTCTCTTAAAATTTATGAAGTGGATTGTAAAAAAAAATGATTAAAGTACTGTTTTTTCTATTTTCTTCAGCACTAATTCGACTATACCATCTCCACAGATGGGTGTCATTAAAACTTAGAGATTTATCCCACGTAGTAGTCTATTCATTGTGTTACCATAATAAGTTTTAAGTTTGGGTCTCTGCAAAATTTCCAAACATTCCATTTATCTTAATGAGAAGACTACTATAAAAGAAATTTTATTAGCTTTTTCATGATCTCAAATTACTGAATAAATATACTGTAATAATTTTGTTTGTATTGGAAGTTCTTGTTAGCACAAATATCTGTGAAAATAGTTGTAAGGGAAAAAGTCTCTGGTAGGCTTTATTTTTCTTCTGGTTTCTCTGGCAGTATGGTAGTCAGCTGGCTAGAGTTCCCAGGCGTCTTTTTGTCTACCTCGCTCGTTTGCCAGCGAAACCTCTAGGTATCACATTCAATATGGTTCCTGCTTATTTCCGCCTAATCTCTCTTCTTTCCCTGTGTTTCCAGGAGAGCCTCGTCCCTCACTTCTCTCTGAGCTGCTCTTGTCCACGTATGTATCTTGTTTTATTAATGTTATGTTTCTAGTGGTTTCAATTACTATAGTGTGTGTAAATGCTAATCTTCATTTGTGCTAGTGAGTTATCCTAGGTGGCAGTGTTGCCTTACAGTAATTGTAATAACTCACTACTCATTTGATGCAGCTTTATGCATCTACCTTGTTAAATATATAACATATTCTTAGGTTCATTTCTATCCTAGCCTATAGTCCTGTCTGATCCCCCAGACTTGCAGGTGTCGTCACTGATATAGGTGACTGACGTGGAGCGAGGCTAATTTAAGCTACCGAGAAGTGAAGCCAACTTGTACTCGATTCTACACTCATCGGTTACACTCGTCTTATTCTTATCTCAATCAAGCTCATCTACGAGGAACAACTCATCAAACCTTACTTCAGGATTCATCGAGTGTGGCACCATCGCAGAGGCAGTCGTCTACTACTTCCGACACTCATAAACCAGGGAGCTACAACGCCGCCACTTGTTTATACTGACCTAGACACTACTCACCTGCTGGCGTGTTACCGTAACTAACCCCCACCCCCCTCCTTTTACTATATAGTAAATCAATCCACGTCTTCATATATCATCTGGTTTTATTAGTACATACATGTGACTATCCTGGGATTCATGTTATTCCTGTGTTAACTGATTAAATTATTTTTTAATTACTACTTTTCATTGTTTTTCCCTTTGCAATAAAAGTTGTGTGCATTTATTCGACATTTTTATGGTATTATCTCTCTTTTTCTGAGCAGGGAAGATGGCCTCCTCCCCCATTTTTCTGAGCAGGGAAGGTGGCCTCCTCCCTCATTTTTCTGAGCAGGGAAGGTGGCCTCCTCCCCCATTTTTCTGAGCAGGGAAGGTGGCCTCCCCCATTTTTCTAAGCAGGGAAGGTGGCCTCCCCCCCATTTTTCTGAGCAGGGAAGGTGGCCTCCTCCCCCATTTTTCTGAGCAGGGAAGGTGGCCTCCTCCCCCATTTCCCAAACAGTAGTTGAGTTTATCCCAGTATGGTTCCAAGATGGTTGTACAACTTTATTATTTCTTACCTCTTTTATTCTCACTAAAAGTTCTCAGTTTACCCGGTGTTAATTATGTTCACTTTGCATGTTCTAGGGGCTTAACTAGGCGACTGGTTCCTTTCATGCAAACAACAAAACCATCTGTGTTGTGGCGTTGTTTATGACAACTTTGGGAAGTATCATCAGCAGCTTGCGAAGCAACAACTGCCTTAAATATGGAATCGAAATCGAAGCATTTGGATGATCGTATCTGCCTTCTCCATTCATTTCATCCAGATTCTCTCTCTCTCTCTCTCTCTCTCTCTCTCTCTCTCTCTCTCTCTCTCTCTCTCTCTCTCTCTCTCTCTCTCTCTCTCTCTCTCTCTGCAGATATCCAGGCATATTATGTATTCATTATGGCTTGATAATCTGGGGGTATTAGTGACAGCTAAATAAATAGTTGAATAGTTTTATGCCACAGGTTTTACTCACAGGTTCTGCTCACAGGTTCTGCTCACAGGTTCATCTTCGATGACTACCTGTGTGCCTCTACTGTCTTGCTTGTGTTTATAAACCCTGCTTCCTTAATCTACGTTGATTTTGTTTATCCGGTTTTACATTATCGACTCGTTCATTTAATTTTATGTCTGAAAACGAGGCAGCAACTTCACTAAATCATTGCTCGGTATTTCCAGCCCCTCAAGGGAGGTTCCTCGACACTGGTGAGGGGCTCTTGATCTAGGGAATTGGATCCGTACTCCAGTTCCCTGAATTGCGTCTGAGTGGCTTCCATCCCCCAACAGGCGCTGTATAATCCCTATGGGTTTAGTGCTCCCCCATGATAGTCGGTATTTTCATAATTGTATGTGATGATTGGGCCTTTTGTAAATCAGCCCGGTATATTTTGTATAATTGTATCCACATGCGTGCTTATATAAATCTGTTCTTGAGTTTCTTGTTACATGTTTTTATTACTTTCTCTAGGTTTTGTATTTCTTGTATGTTGACTCATCACTTGTGTGTTAATCATTTGAATAAATGTTCCATTTTTAATGTTTCGAATTTATTTTAAACTGATAACAGTCGTACAAGTATCTGTGTCAACAATGAAGATGACGATCACTTTCATATTTTGTTTGAATTTTAGGAATGTACGAGTGGTGCTCACAGGTCCAATAATTGAGTTGGTTGCATCTTCTAGTTTGTCGATTACGTGATAAGTTATAAGAAAATAAGAACATAAGAAAGAAGGAACACTGCAGCAGGCCTACTGGTCCATGCGAGGCAGGTTTATGCTGTCACTTAAGCAGGGAAACAACATCTGACAGTCAAAGTAACATGGGTAGTTTGTTGTTTCCTGCCATTATGAAAACTTGATTGTTTAAACAGTGTTTATTGGGGGTGAGTATGACACATGTGCATTAATTAGGCATCTTTCTTCATGAAACATTTTGCTTTCGCAGCAGCCTTCATCAGTAGAATACAGGGGTGACTTACAATCCTGGAGACAGAAGAAGTGGAAAGGTAGTATAAGGTAATCAGTCACTTAGCCTTGATAGAAGATGATAAGTCTCTCAGCCTAAAGCAGTTACGGGGACAGACAATGTATACTGCAACCGAAAGTAAGGTGTAGGAGCGTCTATATGCGGTAGCAGGTAAGAAGAGCTCACTAGCGGAAGAAAGTCCTGTTAGAAAGAACAAAAAGGCACAATATCGTGACGGGAGCAATGCACAAATAACTCGCACATAGAGAGAGAAGCTTACGACGAAGTTTCGTTCAACTTGGACCACTGACAAAGTGACTTTGTAAATGGTCCAAGTCGAACCGATGTGTCGTCGTAAGCTTCTCTTTCCTACGCGTGGTTTTTTTTTTTATGTAAGGTCCTGTTAAGCAGTTCCTAGCAAGACTTGAAGACAACCCTTGTATACCATTTGCATTATAATACTTGTCAGATAACACTTTCATGGTATCTGATAACGAATGTCTTCAGTAACTCTCTTGCTAACAAGTGTTTGACCTTTCACTAGTGAACCCAGTTCATCTGTGACTTGGTCTCAAAGATGCTACACCTCACTTCTAGTTCCTGTACACAAGTCTTTGGCCTAATACCTCTGCTTCTAAGAGACTGACCATCTTCTATCAGACTGAGCGACTGATTTCTTAAGTTTACCTCTTCACTTCTACTCTCTCCAAGATTTTAATTCACCTCTACATTCGACTGATAAAGTAGCGCTGTTATGTAATGTTCGGTCACTTAGGACGCTTTATCTGGGGCCACTTTTATTTTTCAATATGGAGATAATTTGTATTACTTGCGTAAGTTTTCCTTCAGAAAACTGTTCGTTTGGCACCACTTTGAAAGCCATTTGAAAGATTCACTCATTCTAAATACATACGACTATAACCATTTTTTTGTTTCTTCAATTTATCCGAGAAAATTTTTTATGCCACTGAATGTTTTCGACTTATTTTATGATGGAAATGTGATGAAGCAATGCAAACAATGGCATCACCACCATTTACACAACTATAATTACCACCACCAATATACCCAGCACCGCTGAACTCACCACCATTACCATCACTACCCGCCTAAAATGAGCACCACCTCTACGACAACCACCACCAAAACCACTTTTAATGAAAACCACTACAACCACCACTATCTTCGACGCTGGCAATACAACGACCACTACCACTACCATCACCACCATAACCATCTTCACTGCCGCCAATACCACCACCACTACAACCATCTTCACTGCCGCCAATACCACCACCACTACAACCATCTTCACCGCCGCCAATACCACCACCAGCCACCAGTCTCGTCAGCATGAATGTTAATATAAAGTTAAGTTTACCTGTAACACTCGTTTTGATAGTCCTGTCTTCTGAGAGAGTTGTTTGAGGTCCTTGGCGTCGGGGTTGTGGTTGAGGGCGAAATAAGACTTCATGATTCGTAGCTGGTTGTGCTTGAAGGAGGTGCGGATCCTCTTGGTCCGCACTGACTGGCAGGGAGTTCCTAGTGGCCCGTAGGAGCCCTCCAGGTCGTATCCTCCAGGGATGTCTGCAGAGAGAACAACAGAACCTAAACTGTAGCAACACGGAAGATATAATATACATTAAAATGCTCTGGTGTGTATAGGTACACACACACACACACACACACACACACACACACACACACACACACACACACACACACACACACACACACACACACACACACACACACACACATAACGGAAGGGATAGACTCAGAAGTGTCCTTGTTTGCGGACGATGTGAAGTTAATGAGAAGAATCAAATCGGATGAGGATCAGGCAGGACTACAAAGAGACCTGGACAGGCTACAAGCCTGGTCCAGCAACTGGCTCCTTGAGTTTAACCCTGCCAAATGCAAAGTCATGAAGATTGGGGAAGGGCAAAGAAGACCGCAGACACAATATAGTTTAGACGGCCAAAGTCTGCAAACCTCACTCAAGGAAAAAGATCTGGGGGTGAGTATAACACCGAGCATATCTCCTGAGGCGCACATCAATCAGATAACTGCTGCAGCATTCGGGCGCCTGGCAAACCTACGGATAGCGTTCCGATACCTCAGTAAGGATTCGTTCAAGACTCTGTATACCATTTACGTCAGGCCCATACTGGAGTATGCAGCACCAGTTTGGAATCCACACCTAGTCAATCACGTCAAGAAATTAGAGAAAGTGCAAAGGTTTGCAACAAGACTAGTCCCAGAGCTACGGGGATTGTCCTACGAATAAAGGTTGAGGGAAATCGGCCTGACGACACTGGAGGCAAGGAGGGTCAGGGGAGACATGATAACGACATATAAAATACTGCGCGGAATAGACGAAGTGGACAAAGACGGGATGTTCCAGAGATGGGACACAGACACAAGAGGTCACAATTGGAAGTTGAAGACTCAGATGAATCAAAGGGATGTTAGGAAGTATTTCTTCAGTCATAGAGTAGTCAAGCCGTGGAATAGCCTAGAAAGTGAAGTAGTGGAGGCGGGAACCATACATAGTTTTAAGGCGAGGTATGATAAAGCTCATGGAGCAGGGAGAGAGAGGACCTAGTAGCAATCAGTGAAGAGACGGGGCCAGGAGCTATGACTCGACCCCTGCAACCACAAATAGGCGAGTACAAATAGGTGAGTACACACACACACACACACACACACACACACACACACACACACACACACATATACACACATACTGATGCTTCGCGCGCGCACAGCATCAATACAGAAGCCATATCTGGTAAAGCACGTCAGAAAAATAGAGAAAGTATAGTGGTTTGCAACAAGAGTAGTCCAGGAGCTAAGGATATATCCTAGAGGTTAAGGGAATTCTTCCTGATGACACTGGAGGGCAGGAGGCACAGGAGGATATGATAACGACGTATAAAATACTGATAGGAATTGACAAGGTAAATAGGGGCAGAATGATTCAGAGACGGGAAACAGGAACAAGATGGCACAACTGGAAGTTGAAAACTCAATAAGTCACAGGGATGTTTGGAAGTATTTCTTCAGCCTTAGAGTTGTCAGGAAGTGGAACAATATAGAGTGTGAAGTAATGGAGGCAGGATCCATACTTAGCTTTACGAAGATGTACGATAAGGCTCTTGGAGCCGAAAGAAAGTGGGCCTAGTAGCGACCAGCGAAAAGGCGGGGCGAAGAACTATGAATCGACCTTTGCAACCACATACAGATGAGTACATACACAAAGGTTTCCAGTGAGACTACGTTAGTCCCAGAGCTGTTGTGTATGACTTATGAGGAGAGATTAGAGAAGCTAAACCAGACTACACTAGAAGACAGAAGAACCAAGGGTGGCATAGACACCACATACAAAATACTGAGAGGGTGGTCAATTGAGTCTAGGACTTTTAAAGCACAAATAAGTCACGGGGACTTCGAGAAATATTTCTTTAGCCTTAGAGTGGTCAGGAAATGGAAGGACCTAGACAGCGTAGTAGCAGAGGCAGGACTTGTACATAACTTGAAGATTAGGTATGATAGGGTTCATGCAGCCAGGAGTGTGTGGATCCAGTACTGCGTCCAGCTGAGAGGCGGGGCCAGGAGCGCACAAGTGAAAACACACACACACACACACACACACACACACACACACACACACACACACACACACACTCTCTCTCACACACACACACACACACACACACACACACACACACACACACACACAACGACATACAAAATAATGAGAGGAATTAACAAGGTGGACAAAGACAGGATGTTCCAGAGATAGGACACAGCAACAAGGAGACACAGTTGGAAGTTGAAGACACAGATGAATCATAGGGATGTTAGGAAGTACTTCTTCAGCCACAGAGTAGTCAGAAAGTGATGTAGTGGAGGCAGGATCCATACATAGCTTTAAGCAGAGGTATGATCAAGCTCACGGTTCAGGGAGAGTGACCTACTAGCGACCAGTGAAGAGGCGGGGCCAGGAGCTTGTACTCGACCCCTGCAACCTCAACTAGGTGAGTACACACACACACACACACACACACACACACACACACACACACACACACAAAAGCGTGCGCAGAAAGTGGTATAAAACCTGGAGATATAGTTTCATAAACAAAAACCACCACGGGTTTAGAGATCGTAAATCCTATCTTACAAACTGGCTGAAGACCGATGACAAGATAACAAACGAGGCAGGTGAAAAGTGGGTGGACCTCATATACAGGCACTGTAATGTGACCTTTGACACTGTACTGGACAAGAAACAAGCCAGAGGTTAGTGGAAGCAGCAGGAATGTAAGGTAATGAACCACAATGAATCAACCAATACCTAACGGGATGAAAAAGAAGAGTGATTGTTCAGGAACAGATACCAAAAAAAGGGAAACAAGTGGAGATGCACAAGGACTGATACTGAAACCGGTGCTGTTCCTGGTACATATGAAGGATGTGTATCAATGTATATCAACACCGACAAATTGCAGAATCAGACACATGTGCAACATTTTGTAGATATTTCTGCGTTACGCAGGAGTACACTTTGCGAGTCGATAATGTTTTTAATTTATATCAATAAATTTCCTGAGCTAATAGAAAACTATTGTATATGAATGTGTTTGTGGATGATGAAGAGATTTTATGCAAAGTAAATAATAAAAATTAACATTAATATTTTATAGTCTGTAAACATTGAGTAAAATGAAAATTGTTTGTTGAAATTTAATCTTGAAAAATGGGAATGGAAGAAAGAAAAGTCAGACCACATGAAGAATATAAGTTATGAGACAAAATATTGAAAGCATCAGAACTATAAATTGTTTAAATGTTTCTGTAAAGGAATGCCAAAAAAAAAAAAGTCTGTTGACACCCAACAAATGTCCAAAATTGGAATATGCAGCAGCTGTGTGGTGACTCAATACAATTCAAATTTTTAAAAAGGTGGACCGGTAAGCCAGCGGAAGACCTCGGTCAGATTACCAAAAGCTCCAGCGGCGGGTCATCATGCGACTAACATCCGCGTCTGGAAACACTTGTTCTGTTTCCTGACGGATCTAACTTAACCCAACGTAATGTAACTCTTCCCGAAATGTTTCAAATGACCATAAAATAACTCGACGAGCTAAAATATGAGTTATGAAAGTGAAAAAATGAAGATGCCCATGCTGACAGATACCCATGCTGACAGATGCCCATGCTGACAGATACCCATGCTGACAGATGCCCATGCTGACAGATACCCATGCTGACAGATACCCATGCTGACAGATACCCATGCTGACAGATACCCGTGCTGACAGATGCCCATGCTGACAGATAACCATGCTGACAGATGCCCATGCTGACAGATGCCCATGCTGACAGATGCTCATGCTGACAGATGCTCATGCTGACAGATGCCCATGCTGACAGATGCTCATGCTGACAGATGCCCATGCTGACAGATACCTATGCTGACAGATACCCATGCTGACGGATGCCCATGCTGACAGATGCCCATGCTGAAAGATACCCATGCTGACAGATAGAAGAGATAACTTTGAATAAGATCATGAGAGGATATGAAAGAATAGATAAAGAAAATTTCTTGATCTACTCAACAAAGATAGCGATTTCTAAATTGAGAAGAAATCTAGCAGATGTGACATAAGAATATATAATGAATTAAAAGTGGAGGTTATAAGTGATATAATCTTTATAAAGTTAAAGATACTGTACATCGTATAATTATATATATATATATATATATATATATATATATATATATATATATATATATATATATATATATATATATATATATATATAATGTATATATACGTATATATTATATAGGGAGGTACCACCTCTAGAACTGTCCTGGGGACCCTCATCCTCAGAGAAAAGAATAAACTTGCTTCAGGGAAAACTCAAGGTTCTCCCTGAAGCTGTTTGAGAATTTTCTCCTACCACCCCCTATATTTCAGGTATGTTTTATTTAAAGACAAAATACATTGGCCAAACATTCACAAAAATACATCAGAAAGTAAAACAACATAGGTAACTCAGAGCTACATCTCGAATACTTCGTCCAGCTCCCCTGCGGTGGGCCGCGTGCCCAGAATTATATATATATATATATATATATATATATATATATATATATATATATATATATATATATATATATATATATATATATATAAATTTTTTTTAACAAGTCGACCGTCTCCCACCGAGGCAGGGTGACCCAAAAAGAAATAAAATCCCCAAAAAGAAAATACTTTCATCATTCAACACTTTCACCTCACTCACACATAATCACTGTTTTTGCAGAGGTGCTCAGAATACAACAGTTTAGAAGCATATACGTATAAAGATACACAACATATCCCTCCAAACTGCCAATATCCCGAACCCCTCCTTTAGAGTGTAGGCATTGTACTTCCCATTTCCAGGCCTCAAGTCCGGCTATATAAAAATAACCGGTTTCCCTGAATCCCTTCACTAAATATTACCCTGCTCACACTCCAACAGATCGTCAGGTCCCAAATACCATTCGTCTACATTCACTCCTA